TTCCCCTGGGCAGCACCATGGCCCTGAAAGAAGACTTGCTGAAGCCCATCTGGCACGCCTTCACCGCCCTGGACGTCGACAAGTGCGGAAAAGTGTCCAAGTCCCAGCTGAAGGTAAGCAGAAAACCTGCCATTCCTCTCATCTATGTACATAGGAGGCTCGTACTACAACCCCCACTATCCTACTACAGCTGCTGGAAGTACTGCCTGCTGCAACCTCGGACATCCTGCAGATTCCAGCCGTTGTAAGACTACGACTCTCATCATCCGGGCTTTACTCGTGCTCCACATTACAATCTAGGGGGGGGTTCAAATATGTTGGCTACAAATGTATCAATGTATAGTACATGGGGGGGCCTGAAGCAGCCATCGGGGGCCACTAGGAATGTTGGTTACAAATGTATCAATGTATAGTACATTAGGGGACCCAACGCAAAGTTTTCTACAACTGTATCAATGTGTAGCACATCGGGGGTCCCACAGCAGCCATCGGGGGCCACTATCAATGTTGGCTACAAATGTATCAATGTATAGCACATCGGGGGGCCGGAAGCAGCTATTGGGGGGCCACTATCAATGTTGGCTATAAATGTATAGCACACAAGGGGTCCCAAAGCAGCCATCGGGGGCCACTAAGAATGTTGGCTACAAATGTATCAATGTGTAGCACATCAGGGGTCCTGAAGCAGCCATCGGGGCCACCATCAATGTTGGCTACAAATGTATCATTGTCTAGTGCATTTGGGGACCCAATGCAGCCTTCTGGGGCCACTATCAAAGTTTTCTACAACTGTATCAATGTATAGCACACAAGGGGCCCCCGAAGCAGCCATCAGGGGCCACTAGGAATGTTGGTTACAAATGTATCAATGTATAGTACATTAGGGGACCCAACGCAAAGTTTTCTACAACTGCATCAATGTGTAGCACATCAGGGGTCCCAAAGCAGCCATCGGGGGCCACTAAGAATGTTGGCTACAAATGTATCAATGTGTAGCACATCGGGGGTCCTGAAGCAGCCATCGGGGCCACCATCAATGTTGGCTACAAATGTATCATTGTCTAGTGCATTTGGGGACCCAATGCAGCCTTCTGGGGCCACTATCAAAGTTTTCTACAACTGTATCAATGT